CTGTGTAATTCATAAAATCCTCTTTCCGGAAATGATCCTCACAAATGAACATATTACGGCAATTAATTGAGCTTTTAATCCCACAAATCTGTTTCCATTTCATTGAAATTTCGGGATTGTTGGAGAATCAGTAAAAATGTTTATTCACGACCTTTTCACCATCTTTCGACCAATAATAGCTGTTGCTACATTGAAGAAATTTGCAAGAATATTTTTTTCGTGGAGCCATTATGCTCAGAAATGTTTACAAATCTTTTATTAAAATTCAGACTAACATGTTGATCAAATCAATTAAATGTCAAAACAGTTACGTAAAGTAAAAAGTAAAGTAAAAAATAATTAATACAAAACAGGGCTACGAGCCAACAATAAAGTAAAAAAAATGATAAAGAAGCTAAGTCAGTAAAATAGGAATGAAACTAATAATATATATACCTAATAGAAATAAACTTGCAAATTGCACGTGTAGCACACATCCAAGCAAGCAGTAATATAATCGTCGAGTTACAAGTACTTACATACATATCACGTGCTATATAACGATAATGACTACATCACGCAATAAACTTGTCGCCGTTCTTTTTACATGACTGAAAATATTTTCGTAGATTCCTCTTCTAGTAAATCCAGTTCTGGAAATCCGATGTTCATTCCAACACGAGCTGTGGTTCCCTCCAAGAATTTTGACATCGCAGTACCTGTAAAAAAATCCATAATTACATTCTGTTCACATATTCCGTCATCACATATCATTTCCAGTAGTAATTTGAGCATTATAAAGTTTTGACAAGTCGAACATTTTAAATCCACCCGATAATAAAAGACTCACCTACAATATTACACAAAGCATCACTAGTTCGTAAGAAGAAGTCGTTGTATCTTGCAGGTCATTACAAGAGTAGTCTGATTAAGACTAGCCAAGCTGTAAATAAAGGAACTTGGCATTGTCGTATCAAGCTTACAGCCAAAATTAGGCTGTAAAATAATTATACAATTATATAAAATTATATATAATTTTATATAATTGTATACAAATAATGAACATTTTTTTACAGATTCGTAAATGAAATTGCTCTATCACATTACATTTTTGAACAAATATACATATGTATTTTATCTTACTATTAAAAAATTTAACTTATCACATTAGCAATTATTTTGACAAAATTAGACACTATACTGACTATTTTAAAAATAAATTAATACGAACAAATCCTGGAAAATTTTTTACGAAAAGTACAAAAAACTACATAGATTGAAATAAGATCTTAAAAATTCTTAGCTTCGTAGGTATTTGTAACGGAACAGAGTGGCGTTGTTTACTTGAAAATCCAAGAAACTCTACGTCTTTTTTGTAAAAATATATTATGAATATTTCCGAAAAGGGCATAAGATTTCTTGGTTTTTCAAACAAACATGATCACCACTCTATGTCTCATTCATCCGACTTCGTTATCGAATTTTCGTGATAGTAGTGCTATGCCCGAAATAATCGCGCGTAATGCTATCGTCACGAGATCGGTTAATCCGAGAGATGAAAATAACGATACTATAGGTTCTACTGTAATAAGAAAATATTACACTGTTTTAATACACTTACCAAAAATGTTAACCTTTCCTATGGATGTATAAAATTTTGTCAATCTTCTTTGCCTCTTGGATATTCGTCGTATGTTGTCGTATGTGAAAACCGTAGAAGCACAATGGAAACGTATTGCACAACAACGGTCAGTTGCTTTGGCGCGTTGTAGTTTAAGATTCGTAATCGATCGGCCATTATCGCCACACTTCGGATTCAGTTCCGAGCCGCACATGCGCAAACGTAAATTTTATCCCTACACTCGTCTGGCACGTCCGTCATGTTTGTTTCCCCTTTCCTGATCTCGCTTTCATCCCCGTGAAAATGACCTTTTTGCTTCAACATTGAATAACTCGGTGAAAAAAATTCGTACGGAGCTTCATAAAAAAGCAAATTAAAGGTAAAGATTCGCTTTTTCGAATGATGTAAATCGCATTTGTGTACAATTTTTAATTTGCCCCGTGAAACTCCACATACTTCTTAAAAAATTTTGAGATCTGATATATCTTTATTTATGTTTATGTAACTTTATAAAATCTCTATGAGACCATTTTTTCAAGTAGCGATCTGAAAAGTAGAGGTTTTAAGCTGTAAAATGCTTTTTTAAACATCTCGATACGATGATTTTCGACGAAGTTATTCTATCTTGAAATTTGTCTATTTTTGCAAAGTGAAGCAAGTGTTGCGTTAATTTTGTTGGCCAGAGTATGTGACTGCGCGCTGATGGTTTTCGAACTAGCAACATAATGAAACTGAAATAGGGTTACCAACTCCAGGTTGCACGAAAAGAGTACATTGACTGTCAAAAAGAGTATACTTTCTTTAAAAAAAAAAAGGAAAAAAGAAAAAAGGAAGCTTTTTGTTTTAAATTCTAGTATTCAATAAAATGATATTTTTAGAATGTAATTTTTATTGCAAACCTTGGCTATTAAGTCTTCTTAAAGTTACAAATAAATATATTTATTCACATTTTACTTTATAATCATTTTTTAATGTTAACGTTAATAAACATACATATAAATACAAAGATAATAAAAATTGAGAAAACAAAAATTACATGCACATGTAGAACGGACTGAACTGAGTCGAAAAGTCCTCTACCGTTTTGCAATTTTCGCAATAGTCAACGAGATAATAATTAGTAAAAATTACCGAATACGTGCGTCCGCTCGGCCTACTACTGCCAACAGTATATGCCCATGATAGCTCGATGGTGCGCGGACCGCGGAGAGTGGGGACTGCCTGGCAAGCGCACCGCGCTGTCTGACATGACGGGTGCGTTCTTTTAGGCATCGGATTTGGCAGCCGCTGCGCATCGGATTTGCCGAACGGGCGTTTTTTATACGATCACGCAGAAACGTAGCCGGTTGCGCAGCTAATTCTAATCGTCTGCGTATCTACTGCGTATCTATTACCAAAAGAACGAAAATCTGCGCTGCAATCGACTGTGCAGTTGTGCTATTTACCAATTATTATCTCGTTGACTATTGCGAAAATTACAAAACGGTAAAGGACTTTTCGATTCAGTTCAATCTGCTCTACCTGTGCATGTAATTTTTTGCGGTCTTTCTGGGACACCCTGTATATATTCAACATATTTTGTACCTTATACAAGTTTTTTCAACAAACCTATATTTTAACAAAATTTCTATATGTATAATACAAAAACAAAACCACAATATAATATATAAAAACTTTTATATAGTACATACTGCTCAAAACGAACACAGTATCAGTACAAGCCAAGCAAAACTTTTTTGTAAAATAATAAATAATTTTTGTACCGACCGTAAATTGTCTATAAACAAGGAAGGAATTAAACGCCTATAACGGTCAAAGCTGGATCAAAGTGCTAATAATAAGTATGTGTGAATTTTTATATACCACATATATAGCCCCCCGATAATTGCGCGCTGAAACATTCAGACATATAACGCATAAATACTACAGTAGTATTATAATATCACCGAATAATACTTGATTAATTCAAATTAAATATAAAGATGATAATTTAAAATTCCGTAAATAAATTGGATCTTAATAATCTTATTCTTTATATTACGAAAAATATCACAAGTTGGCGTTTCGTCCCGGTTTCTACTACTGGACTCATCAGTAAGGCAATGTAATGGAAACCTACCTTAGACGCCTTGGGGAGATGTTAGAAAGAAGTTCTATATAAACAATCAAATAAAATAATAAATTTAATAAGTTACTTTTTTTTAACTAAGTTAAGTTAAAGTTAACAACCTTGAAAATTTAACTTAGTTAAGATACAAGTTAATGTATAATGAAATTAATTGAATTGAAAGTTAAGTTAATAAAAAAATGTAATTGAAAAGTTAAAAGTTAAAAATTCATTTTTTTCATAATTTCAGGGTTTCAGTCTTAATAATAACGGAAGTAACAATAAAAAAAACTATTTAGATTTTAGAACATATCCAAAATTTTTATATTAATTTTTTTTATAATAATATATATCTTTTATAATAATATGTTTTGTTTCTATATATACTCGGTTTTATGTATAGATATATATATTCTATTATTAATGTCAACACTCATTGCGTTTTTGCACAAAACCTCAAACTCTTATTATTAGAACCGAATAAATGTAGCAGCAAACTACAAATGACTACAAGCTATTGCAAGCTGCAAGTCCTGCAAGTTAGAACCAGTGATGCAAACTCGCGTCCGCTTGCGGACAATGAAGAGTCTCTATACTTGCAGGACATCAACAGTGTCATTCATCAATACGGAACAGACTGGAGTAATAACACATAACCAATGATGCGAATATCTATAACACTTACAACACGCGATCAGTACCACCGAAGGCGCTAATCACGTGCTGCAAGCCGACCGGAATTCGTATCTTTGATTACATGTGGCTCGTATTGGGTCTGACACTTAACTTTAAAAAAATTAATAAAAAGTTATTAGTTACTCATAAAATGTAACTAAATAAAGTTAAAAAGTTAGGAGTCTAAAATGTAACTAAGTTAAGTTAAAATTAATTAACTTTTAACTTTTTAATTTAGCACTACCCAACCCTGAATTTAAATATTAAATAATATATTTTTTAAATTTTATCTCATTTCTCAATAAAGAATATAATAAGCCAAAAGTAAGAGTACGCTGTTTATCGATCTCGAAAAGAGTACTTTTTAAAAGAGTATGGTTGGTAACTCGATTTAAACTACAACAATAATATTCTCCCGAAATCAAATTAGGTACATCTTCGATCTAATGCTACTATAATAACATCTTAAAATCTGTAAAGAACTTGCGAAAAATATCTCGACTAAGATAATATTTATCATAATAAACTTCAAATTAAAGATCTAATTTAACGTATTAATAATGAAGAATATTTTTTTAATCTTGCCGAGTTTTACTTAATGTGCTATTTTTTTTATAGATTATTATAGTACGCGTAGACAGTTGTACGATGAAGATTCGGTTTCACCTCGGACAAAACAGCCTATGTAAGTAGTTAAAGTTTAAATTCTGTTTTTTTTTCAATTAGTCAATATATAATGTTTACTGTGATATTACGTATGTATAGGCCGGATCCTCGATTCATTACATTTCAAAAGGAAGGATCCGTGGGCGTGCGATTAAGCGGTGGCAACGAAACCGGAGTCTTCGTAACTGCAGTTCAAGCGGGAAGTCCTGCATCGCTTCAGGGTCTTCAGCCGGGAGATAAAATTTTAAAGGTCAGTTAATAATAATAAGATTTCGGAAATGCTTTGTATTAAAGAACAGGAGAATAGTATTAATGCCCAAAAAAACACGGAAAAATTAGACAAAGCATATGATATTTTGTTTTGATTATGTACCTCGCAATGATAAACAGTGAGTGTGACATTTCTACAGCCTTATCATAATTTCCCTTATTCTTTTGACGACTGTCTTCGTATACACATCATTTTTGCGTTACACTACAATAAAATCTGAGTTTGAGGAGAGAGAATTATTTTTGGAGTATCTGAAATTAATGTAAGTTTTGATATACATTCGTTTTTGGTTTTGTTGGTTTTATCTTTAATTTCGGTTTTATAGAATCATGATGCTGAAATAGCTTTTGAGATGGTTTTCTTTCCTTCAACTTTCAATTTACAATTTGACTAAGAGAGAGCATTGACTTATTGACGTTATATTTTATAATTATTGTTGTTAATTGTTATATTTATAATAATGTGTATTGTTTATAATATTGAGACTGAAGAGGACTACTGTATGAGTCGAAACGTTTCGCTTTAAATTCTTGTTGAAATTATTATAATAAACTTTGTCAACCGTTTAATATCATATGCTTGTTTATATTATCGAAGTTTGAATATCTTAATTTATCGTTTAAAACATAACAAACGTTATCTTATTACTGTAATAATAATAAGCATTTATTATCAAAAAAAACTTCAAAAATAACAGGACTACGAGCCATAAATTAATTATTATAAATAATGAAGGAAAAGTTTCAATTTAAAACATAAGAATTTAATGACATATTATATAAAAACGAAATAACATATGAGATAAATAAACAATAAAGGCAAACGTTTCGATCCCTATCGGGTCATTATCAATGCCATAGTATATAAAATTATTTAGAAAACAAAAAACATATATGATATTGACATAATAAATATTGACGCATATAAAATAAAAAGATGTAATAACTAATAAAACGCATATCGACAGATAACAAATAAAAAATTAACAGACGTGAGTAATATTCATCTCTCTCACTTGTCGCATGTCAATTTAAGCTCAAATATTAAAAGCATTTCTTGAAAATTAATCGTCATCTCTTTCACTAGTCGCATGTTATGGAAGCTCGAATATCAAATCAATTGCAAGTGTAAATAACAGTTTATGTGTGCGTAAGAGAAATTGCATTATCTGTTAAAATATATATATAATGTAATTACAAATTGAAAAAACTCGAAGTATTAAATACAATCATACATATGCGTATAAGAATAAAATTAAAAATTTTTATTGTGTAACGCATATTATATATTATACTACTCAACTTAATGATAATTAAATTAGCTGACTGAAGTTTGGAACGTTCTTGGAACGAATTTTTCAAAACGATTTCTCCCATTTCTCCATTGGCACAGATGTTCCTCTGCATTCCAGAAAACAAATAGAAAACACCCCGATCGAATACATGCGTCAGAAGACACCCTTATGGGCGAAAAACCACCCTCGAAACAACTTAAAAATTTCTCATTGATCGTAGAATGATTTCTCCCATTTCTCCTTTGGCACAGAGGTCCCTCTGTATGCCAGACAATAAATAAAAAATACCCCGATCGAATACATGCGTCGGAAGCCACCCTTATGGGCGATAAACCATCCTTGAAACAACTTAATGACTTCTAAAAAATCTTAAAATGATTTCTCTCATTTCTCCTTTAGCACAGAGGTCCCTCTGCATGCCACACAATAAATAAGAAAATACTCCGATCGTATACATGCGTCAGAATCCATCTTTATGGGCTAAAAATCACCCTCGAAACAACTTAAAGAGTGACTTTTCGCCCATATGGGTGGCTTCCGACGCATGTATTCGATCGGGGTATTTTTTATTTATTGTCTGGCATACAGAGGGACCTCTGTGCAAAAGGAGAAATGGGAGAAATCATTCTACGATTTTTGAGAAATTTTTAAGTTGTTTCGAGGGTGGTTTTTCCCCCATAAGGGTGGCTTCCGACGCATGTATTCGATCGGAATATTTTTTATTCATTGTCTGGCATGCAGAGGGACCTCTGTGCAAAAGGAGAAATGGGAGAAATCATTCTACGATCTTTGAGAAATTTTTAAGTTGTTTCGATGGTGGTTTTTCGCGCATAAGGGTGTCTTCCGACACATGTATTCGATCGGGGTGTTTTCTATTTATTTTCTGACATGCAGAGGAACATCTGTGCCAAAGGAGAAATGGGAGAAATCGTTTTGAAAAGTTCGTTCCAAGAACGTTCCAAACTTCAGTCAGCTAATTAAATTAAGTTTAAAAACACTTCAAAAACAAAGAATAATAGCGTACCTTAATCATTTGATTGCTTGAATTAAATTTTATAAAGTTATAAATGTGACAAAGGAAGACTAATGTAAGTGATGTTAACAGTTTTACTACCGAAAACAGTTTGAATTTGAAAACATCTGGAAGATGACAAGGAAAGAGGTTATTGAGAGGAAGAGTAGTTAAGAGAAAAGAGGGGAGGAGAATGGAGGGGAAAATATTAAGCAGGGGAAAGGGATTGTATAATATTAGAGTAAGTATCAGGTAACGAATCGGTGTCATTCTGCTTATTAAGAACCTGTTTTTATCTTTTTATGTGAATAATTTCAGATATCAATTTTTTATTGTATGATGGTTCACTGTTAAGAATTTTTACGTCATTCCAATTAAAATTATGATCATAATTTATGCGATGATCTGTTATTACAGAAGGTGAATCAGTCCTTTTTCTGATATCAGAAATATTATTAATCCTAACATATCTTTAAAATGAAAAGGTCAAGCCATGTTCAAAAATAGATCCTCGCAAAATTAAAAAACCCAACAAATTTAAACCTTCGAAAACTAATCGCAAAAATTTGATCCTTCCTAAATTAAAATGATTATCTAACCACAAAATAGAAAACCCAATAAATTTCAACCTTTGAAAATTAACCCCAAAAATTTGAATCTTTCTTAATTAAAATGATTATCTAATAATGTAACATAATAATTTATACCTTTAATACTTTAAATGATACTATCTAATATAATATATGACCACGAAAAGTAACTGATACATTACTAAATGTGCCAGTTCAAAGTGAACATACATTATGTTATTTTCTATGTTGAATATGTACCACGAAAAGTGAATGACTCGTTAATCAAGGTACAAATTCAAAATGAACATACCTACATATAAGTAAAACAGATTACAATCTGCATATTACAGTTTTCTAGAAAATAACTGCAATAAACATACATAAAATATATTTTCTATGTTGAATATGTACCACGAAAGTAATTAATAGATCATTCAAGGTGCAAATTCAAAATAAACATACATACATATAAGTAAAACAGATTTGCATATTACGTTTTTCTAAAAAATTTCTGCAATATGTTATTCTTAGTGCAGAAAATATAAAAGTCGGTTATTGAGATTTGATTTGAAATTTATTTAATTTATATTAGCCCGTACAATGAAATATAATTGCTTGTAATTCCAGAGTACCAATCTGTTAATGACTCGAAAAAGAACATGGCGGCCTGCTCTCAAAAGATTTTCGATGGATGGAATAAATTATTGAAATAGAAGTTATGCAAATGTTTTAGATTAAAAGAATTATAATTAAAAGAAAGAAATATAATCTTTCTTTCGTCGAATTTCTAATTTTTGTTTGAACTTCCGGTTTTGAGTTAGTTGTGTTTCAGTATGGATAAGAAATTTATCAATTAACTCTGAAAAGATAGTGACATCATTCTTACGGTGCGAGTACAAAATGTAATAGTTTTTGGAAGATTGATTTAAATATTCGCATTAATGACATTAAGCCTCGATTGGTATTCGTACTTCAATTGTAATAACAATTACTCTGTACATGAGAAAAAGGCATTTCAACATAATGTGTTCACATCATTATCGTTATGTAGCTTTTGAAAATGCGGTGGATCCTTATATTTTATTCTAATCTAATCTTATTATTCATTATTTATAAGTAATACTTTCGTACTTCAAGTGTCGAAAAAATTACTCCGTACAAGCTTCGACACTGCTTCGAAGTGAACAACGAGAAACTTATCAGTCTTTTGAGAACAGGCCGCAATGTTCTTTTTCCGAGTCATTAACAGATTGGTACTCTGGAATTACAAGCAATTATTTTTCATTGCACAGGCTAGTATAAATTAAATAAATTTCAAATCAAATCTCAATAACCGGCTTTTATATTTTGTGCACTAAGAATAACATATTGCAGAAATTTTTTAGAAAACCGTAATATGCAAATTGTAATCTATTTTACTTATATGTATGTATGTTCATTTTGAATTTGCACCTTGAATATCTATTAGTTACTTTTCGTGGTACATATTCAACATAGAAAATATGCTTTATGTATGTTCATTGCAGTTATTTTCTAGAAAACTGTAATATGCTGATTGTAATCTGTTTTACTTATATGTAGGTATGTTCATTTTGAATTTGTACCTTGACTAATCAGTCATTTACTTTTCGTGGTACATATTCAACATAGAAAATAACATAATGTATGTTCACTTTGAACTGGCACATTTAGTAATATATCAGTTACTTTTCGTGGTCATATATTACAATATATTAGATAATATCATTTAAAGTATTAAAGGTTTAAATTATTATGTTACATTATTAGATAATCATTTTAATTTAGAAAGATTCAAATTTTTGGGGTTAATTTTCAAAGGTTGAAATTTATTGGGTTTTCTATTTTGTGGTTAGATAATCATTTTAATTTAGGAAGGATCAAATTTTTGCGATTAGTTTTCGAAGGTTTAAATTTGTTGGGTTTTTTAATTTTGCGAGGATCTATTTTTGAACATGGCTTGACCTTTTCATTTTAATGATATGTTAGGATTAATAATATATCAGTTACTTTTCGTGGTTAATATATTATTATTAGATAATCATTTAAAAGAAATAGAAAAATGCCTAATCGAGTCTTGTACACAGGATGTTAATGTGTGTTGATACGATTTATTGAAAATATAAAATTTTTCTTACGTTTCGATCCTCGGTTTGGATCCTTATCAGAGAACTTCTAATATAGAATACACATTGTGCTACCTAGAACACTTTATATTAAAATGTACCACGAAAAGTAAATGATAGATTATTCAAGATGCAAATTCAAAATGAACATACCTACATATAAGTAAAACAGATTACAATAAAAATATTACAGTGTTCTAGAAAATAACTGCAACATACATAAAGTATATTTTCTATGTTGAATATGTACCACGAAAAGTAACTAATAGATCATTCAAGGTGCAAATTCAAAATGAACATACATACATATAAGTAAAACAGATTACAATTTGCATATTACAGTTTTCTAAAAAATTTCCGCAATATGTTATCAGCCAAAAGTTGCATTTTCCTCCTCACCGCTCCGCGTGCAGTCGAAATGTCCCATGACAGTCGAATGGCATTCTTTTTTTCCGTGATACGATGTGATGAGGGGGACAGTGAAAGCTACACATAAACAACGCGTGCAATCCAAATGCCCCATTACAGTCGAATGGTATTGTTCTGCGCTCGGTGCGGTGAGGTGAGGGGAACAGCGGAAGCTAGACGAAGGCGATTCGAAAATCAGCTGAAAGTTGCATTTGCCCAACCCTCCCCACCTCATCTCACCGCGTGCAGTCCAAATGCTCCACGATGATTGAATGGCATTGTTCTACGCGCGGAGCGGTGAGGTGAGGGGGATAGCGAAAGCGAGGCGTAGGCGTATTAATTAACGCGTCGACTTTGGACAACATATTTTTATTTATTTATTAACGTGATATTGTAGGTATATCTTCGGTGCATATTATTACATTATCATATTAATTAAACGATTCGTGCTGTAAAAACTGTAATATGCAAATTGTAATTTGTTTTACTTATATGTATGTATGTTCATTTTGAATTTGCACCTTGAATAATCTATCAGTTACTTTTCGTGGTAATATATTATATTAGATAATATCATTTAAAGTGTTAAATGTTTAAATTATTAGGGATCTTTTTTTGATTAGATGAACATTTAAAGATTTAAAGGTTTAAATTTTTGTGTGGTTAAATTATTAGGGATCTTTTTTTGATTAGATAAACATTTAAAGATTTAAAGGTCTAAATTTTTGAAAGGATTCTTTTTTGAACATAGCTTGACCTTTTCATTTTTATGATATGGTTTGTTTAGGATATCACTTACTTTTCAGAGTACAAATATATATAAAAAAATAACGAAAGAGAGTGAAATACGGCGAAAGAGAGAGTTATTGGAGGTCGTTGGTGGGGAGAGAGGGAGGAGGTCCGGTGCGCCGAAGATGGTGGAGGTGCGAGTGAAAGGTGAGATAGGATATCAAAAAGTTGTAATAACGAAAAAAGTGAAAATACGGTGAAATAGAGTAGCGGCGGGGGTGGGTAGTGGTACCAGGGGAAGGGGCGGAGGGAGGAGGTCCGGTGCGCCGAAAATGGTGGAGGTGCGAGTGAAAGGTGAGAGAGGATGTCAAAAAGTTGTAATAACGAAAAAGATTGAATTACAGCGGAAGAGAGGAGAGGTGGGGGTTGGTGGTGGGGGAGGGGGTGAGGCGAGTGGAGGAGGTCCGGTGGGCCAAAGATGGTGGAGGTGCGAGTGAAAGGTAAAAGAGGATGTTAAAAAGTAACATTTCACTATCCGTCAAATAAGGATATTTTTAAATTCGGACATCAGACAGAGAAGGAGACGTTTCTTAATTTTTCATTAAAATCATCACTTTTCGACCGCTTGTATCTCCAGAACGGCTTGACCGATTAAAAATTTTTTTGTCTCGAATTACTCGTGGCGATGCCGCCTTTCAGGACATATGACGTTCAATTCAAAATTTTTTATATTTTAATAGTTATGCACCTCCCAATAATGGACTTTGATGGCTCGGGAAACTTGTAGCTTCTCACAGTTTTTTTGAACATGGCCGGAGACGCTACCGCGTCTCCTGATATGTTCATTAAGTCTGGAACTTAATTTTCTTTTTGTCTGACCCACATAGCTAGCCTCACAATCGTCGCATGAAATTTTATAAACTACATTTTGGTTTGATAATGCATCTAATTTGTCTTTGCCTCTCTTAATAAGCCCTTTTAAAGTGTTAGGAATGGAATATGCCAATTTGCAGTGGAACATGGAAGAGATAGGAAGGAAACTTTCTGAGATGGATCTTACATAAGGGATTGCAAAATATTTATCATTATTTGGTGAATTGTTATTATGTTTGTTATATATATGGGATTTTATTCCTTGTTGAATTGTAGAAAAAATGAAAGGAAGAGGAAAACAATTATTTAGGAAGATTTGAATAGCTTCTATTAGATTTTTTTGTTGAAAACAAGGACGTGAGACTTGGAAAATTTTATCAATGAAACTAATAATTATGCCTTTCTTGTGGCAAAGGGGATGTATTGGAATGAAAATTGAGGAATCTTCCAGAGAATGTCGGCTTGTGAAACGTGTCAAAAATTATTCTTTGATTTTCAACTATAATAAGTGTGTCAAGGAAACTTAATCTATCATTTCTGCCAACCTCAATGGTAAACTGTAGTCTTGCATGCAAAGAATTAAAAATATTAAGTGTATCATTAGTGTTATTTGGAGGGATTGCAAGAATGACATCGTCTACATATCTAAAATAAAGCAAAGGTTGTACCGTTATTTTTTTTAATGCTATTTTTCGAGATCCTGCATCACTATGTCAGTAATTATAGATGATAATGGTGAACCCATTGTGGTGCCAAAAACTTGTTTATAGAATTTGTTATTAAAAGTAAAAAACGTTGAATTCAAGACAAGACTGACTGCAATAACAAATTCGTTTTTTGGAATCTTAATTTTTTTTGAAATATAGTTCCATCTCTTATTAATACTATCAATAGCCAAATCAGTCATATTTATTATCACTTATTTATATTTAAACAAACTAAAGCCATGTTCTAGATTCCAAAGATCCAAAAATGACGAAATGATTAATAATAAAATTAATGAGTCTAACAATATTCTTTTATCTCAAATAATGTTTTTATTCGAATAATTTTAATCTTAAATTTGATTAAAGTTTAAAATGCAAAGAGTACTGTATATTCCGATAATTTTGTTTAATAGAGAAAAATTCTCTTATAAAGATTTTTTAAAAGAAATTTTTTAAAATGTCTGATTACAGATTTTGATATTTGTATATCGAAAATTTATAAAGATATGTAATCTTTTTACAGATAAATGATATGGATATGAAAGAAGTCACGAGGGAAGAAGCCGTACTGTTCCTTCTTAGCTTGCAAGAACAAATCGACCTTATCGTGCAACATCGACGTCAGGAATATGACCAAATTGTTGCATCCGGCAAAGGTGACTCTTTTCACATAAAGTAAGTGGCATTTATGATATAATTAATAGTCTTAAAAGGTATTTATTTAGAATGACAAGAAATACATCTAAATAAGATGAAAATATTCAAGGACTCTTGGTATAACAATAATTAATACAAATAGAAAGGGCGATGTAAGAGTCAAGTCAAATTTCATTTAAAAATAATACAATGTACATATTTAATTTTAAATTTTAAAAAATAATAGAATATAAATATAAAAAAATATATAAAAAATAGAATATCAAAAATTACTTATAAAAGTCATGATGGACATCGCGTTGCGTAACAAGTTTCGGCTGTCGGATTGAGCCCTCCTCAGACATTAAAAACAGCGGATAAAATCATTCGTCAGAAGATCGGTCGTACATTCTCTATTTTAATCATGTGAATCTTCACAGAAAAATGACATTTTAGTTATACATGATTGAAAAGTCAATGTGTAGATAACAATATCTCTGAAATGATGATAAAAAACTTTCTTTATCAGGAGACACAGTAGTAGAGTTATTATAATCAGAGTTAAGACACATGGCCGGAAGGACACCATTTATAAGTCTAGCCGGAAGTGATTGTGCGCGCGGTTTTTCGAAACATGAAAATCGTTTACAGCAATCCCAGCAAACAAAAAAGAATGCGAGGAATTAAAATTTCAATTCCAATCAAATTTTTCTAAATTCCATTATTGAACTCTTCGGAATATACAGGAATATAGTGCATCCTCGGGCTGCATAATACACATTATATATTATGCAGAGTACATAAAACAATCTTTTCATTAAATTGTAATAAATATTAAGTTTTACATCTCTCTGGCTGCGTTCATAAAGTTTTCTCCGAATAGAGTTAGAGTAGAGTTGAGTTAGGTACGAGACGGTACGAGTTAACTCTAAATTTATGTGACTTTATGAACGACCGGAGTATCAGTTGAGTTCGTTGATTTGATGGTAGTTCTAATCTAATAAAAAGTTGAAATTTAAATTAAGAAAAAAATTAATTTTATAATAGCAGAAAACGTAAAGAAAGTAATTTCTTTCACTATATTAATCTATAATCTATAATAATAATACGAAAGTAATAATAATAAGAAAGTAATTTCTTTTACTATATTAATCTATAATCTATAAAACGTAAAGAAAGTAATTTCTTTCACTATATTAATCTGTAATCTATTAATCTATCTCTTATTATTAATCTATAAGTCGTGAAAGATGAGATAATAATAATTATTTAAAATTTTTTTCACTAAAAAATAGAAAATAAATTACCTGTAACATTTTGTATTAATGTAAGGCCACTTTCATTAATAATACTTTTTCCTATTTCGTCAGTCACTATTATATAATTCTCCATCTTAGAGAGATTATTAAAAAAAGATATATTCAAAAAGTATCTTTATAATTATAATAGTGACTGACGAAACAGGAAAAAGTATTAATGAAAGTGGCCTTACATTAGTACAAAATGTTACAGGTAATTTATTTTCTATTTTTTAGTGAAAAAAATTTTAAATAATTATTATAAAAAAAAAGATTTATAACATACTATCTTTTTTAACATATCTTTTATAACATATCTAGATTTTTAACATATCTTTTTTTTCATAATCTGTCTACACTAAATATTATAATATTATAATATTTAGTGTAGACAGGTTATGAGGCACGTATTTACATCAGTCACCATTACCTATAATTACCTCTTATTTAGGTTAGTAAGCTGATACTCATTACTGCGCATGTCGAGTTATTTCTACCCACCTCTCTGACATGAGTTAAGAAAGTTAACTCTAGAGTTAATCCTGTCGAATTTCTGAACGGCTTACTCTGAACATACTTTCGGTCATATTCGAGTTTCTGAACGCTATAGAGTTAACTCTAGTTAACTCTGAGTTAAAGAGTAAACTTTATGAACGCAGCCTCTCGAGCGTGTCCAAAATTTTTACGCCGATCTTTAAGAATTACAAATAACTTTTCAGGTAATTTTTTTTTGCAGAAATATTTTTTAACTTAGTAGCCACCGAATAAGTGGTTATGGATAAATTCTGCCGCTAGGAAGTATTTAAAAATAAATGCAGAAGTTATGAATTATTATGGCAGGTTAGATATATGACAAGTATAGGTTCTCTAACCTGTCATTTAATACATAACTTCTGCATCTATTTTTAAATACTTCCTAGCGGCAGAATTCATCCATAATCACTCATTCGGTGGCCACTAAGTCAAAAAATATTTCCGTAAAAAAAATTATCTGAAAAGTTGCTTATAATTCTTAAAGATTGGCACAAAAATTTTCTCGGTTTTCTCTCGCCTCTGAACACGCTCGAGAGCCCTTAAATACGCTTTTAACAATTAATCACAAATATAAGTAAATAAATAAAAATAAAACATATTCTAAATAAATATTTAATGGAATTCATACCAAAGCCTTTTTCGGTAGTTCTCCACAATTCTGACAACTTTTGACAGATCAATTTTGGCGCTAAATCAACTACTGAATAACTTATACACACAAACAAAAGATGATGTTCACCTATTCACTGTTATTCACTAACACTATCAAACTATGAGAAAATGACGGCCGGGCTCGCAACCAATCAGAAGTTGAACAGCATGTGTCTTAACTCTGATTATAACCCTACGCGGTAGCGTCTCCGGCCATGTTCAAAAACTGTGAGACGCTACAAGTCTCTTATCCCGAGCCATCAAAGTCCATTTTTGGGAGGTACATAACTATTAAAATATAAAAAATTGTGAATCAAACGTTATATGTCCTGAAAGGCGGCATCATCACGAGTAATTTGAGCCAAAAAATTTTAAATGAACATGGCCGGAGACGCTACCGCGTCTCCTGATCGGTCAAACCGTTCTGGAGATATAAGCGGTCAAAAAGTGGGGATTTTAATGAAAAATTAAGAAACGTCTCCTTCTCTTTCTCCTTCTCCTTCTCTGTCCGCATTTTTAAACTTTTTAAACTTTTCAACATCCTCTCTCACCTTTCACTCGC